CTGTTTCTTCCCCAAAAACTAGCAGTTCTACTGTTTCTTCCCCAAGAATTAGCAGTTCTACTGTTTCTTCCACAAAAACCGCCAGTTCTACCCCTCCTTCCACAAAAACTGCCAGTTTTACCCTTCCTTCCACGAAAACCGCCAGTTCTACTCTTCCTTCTACAAAAACCGCCAGTTCTACGAACACAGCGTCTACGAACACAGCGTCTATGCACACAGCGTCTACGAACATTTCATCACCGGCCACTTCTCCTTCACCAACACCCACACTTACGCATGCGTCCACGGCTGCATCCACAACGCCCCCAGCAGCTGCATCCACAACGCTCCCAGCAGCTGCATCCACAACGCCCCCCACGGAAGCATCTGGAGTATCAGAAACGGTCGTGAACAGCACTAAAGAGCTAAAATACGGTACTCCAGTTGAAATCTCTGTCAATGTACATCCTGGCTCATCCTATAGTTTCAATATAACCAACGAGGAAGATCACAAACCAACCGGCGAAATTCAAGTTAAAGTGACAATGTGCAATGCTAGTAAGGAAGCTGCAAAACCCGTGGAACCCTCGGGAAATGGTTTATATGAAATTCCGGCAACCAAGTTACATGATTTGATCATTTATTTCAATTGTTCACATAAAAGTCGAGTGAAACGTAGTACTGGAAACCGGGAATACAAAATGAATTTATTCATCACCGGTACAAGTAAAACGGACTCGACTAAAAATATCAGCGTAGTTGGTATAAGTAGAGATATGGATGTCCGTGGGACTACTCCGACACATACAACTGCGACACAATCCGGGAGTACATCGTCATTTACAACGCATGCAACAACAGCACATACGACGCCAGCAACTTCACTCAGTACCGGTTGGATTATTGGAATCGTGTTCATAGCATTATTTGGAGTGACGTTGATTGTTGCAATCTCTGTATTTGCCTATTTCTATCTGAAAAAGAGAAGAGGATCAATCAATGATGACCGCGAAGGTCTTTTTAAAAGACAACAATTTGTCGACGAAGTGCCTCCTAGAATCTTGCCACTTCCAAAAACATTCGGTCATTACCAAACACCACAAACGTCTTCCATGATCCCTGCAATTAACAATTACTCTAGCTCACGACCCTCCTATTATCCTCAAACATCCTCCACCAATCCTCCAACCAACAATCAATTTGGTTCACAACTGTCCAATTATCCTCAACCATCCTCAAATTATCCAAAACTCATACGTCCCAATATTCAGTCACTACAACCCAATATCGCATCGTCCATAAATCCAGCAACACCGAACAACAACCTTTATGGACCAAGAGGACTCAGCAGGAATTATTGAAGTAAAGGAATGAATTCAAAGAGTTTATCCGCAAATATTATCTTAATCAACAGTGAATTTGTGGTCAAATGTTTTGTTAAAACTAAACTCTGTATCCAGCTTTTTTACTAAGGGACCATATAGCTTCGAGTATCCGCTTTGGTACACGTGCAACTTACGTATGAACAATCATTGAAAGCGTGATCCAGCTGAGAGAAAAGCTTAAAAAGCAAACATAAAGGATAGTGACGCATAAATAGGAAGTTCCATGAGCAAATGCGTGGAATCCAAGAAATTTTCATTTCATTCGTGATAATAATTGTTTCTTTGTACATAAGGCATCCTTATAAATGAACATGTACCACAACGGTCATGGAACATTTCCTGAGCAAAGATTTTATCAGCATATAGTCACAATGTTCAGCTGAAGCTTTCATGTTTGAACATAGTCTACGAAAAACTAAAACAAAAAGTTCCAGTCTGCTACGAAAAAGCTGAATCGTGTTTATCATAATTGTCATTTTTATAGTGTTTATCATCAATTTATGAAATTCGAATAATAAAAAGGTGAAATAAAATGATTAATTTTTGAAATGACAAACGTGTTTACTGAACAATTTATACAACAGTCTACGCAGTGGCATTCCATTAATTTCACTCGTCATTGTCCAAAAAAAATTCTCACTGGTGTACTGTTCTAGATCAATTTTTGCTTTGAACACTGGAATGAAATTCACTTTTCGTGGTTACCACATTTCATAAATTTCAACCGATTTTTTTTCGCCAGTACAAATATATACGGTTAAAATTGGATAGCATGCAATCAGCCAGCAGCAGCTAAATCAACCAGCAGCAAGAAAATAATATTCTACAGCTATTTCCCTCGTAATATGAATCCGGTTCCACACGGAACGTACTCTTTTTTATGCAATTTCCAAACAAAAAATTTAAAGGCTTTGAGGAAACGTATTGTGTTGAATAAGGCGGACTTTTCTGCAATGATAACTGCGATGCACGCTTACTGTCGTTAATTTCAAGACAAAGATAATTTCTTTCCGGTTCTCGAAATACCGTAATGGTAATATAAGACACTGTGACAGGTTCGTAGTGCAACAACGATGAGCTTATTAGTTACAAACAATAACCGCAAACAAGAAAACGATAGTAGTAACTTGCAATTATTCCTTCAATGAACCAAACTCAGCAACAATCTCAATTCAATCAATTCAGTGAACTCACACAAAAACTATTCGATAACAAGATTGCAACTCACAACAGATAACTCCCAGCAACAGCAAAATTATATCACCGATATCTCCTTGCGATTCGATTGACTTGTAGTTGACGATACTGTCTGGTAGCGTGATGTTTAATTAGCAAACCTGCACCGGTGCTAACACTTAATGAATGTGATGGAATATTACCAGAGAATCGACGTAGAGTGATTTGAATATCTGATGGTTCAGGTTGATTCGAGAGTTATTCGAATACAATCAATTTGATGAACGAGATTGAATCATTCCTTCAACATCAATAACGACAACAGTGTAGTTGAGTCAAAATGACTCCAGACTATTACAATAGCAACGAACTAACAATTCCCAGTTCGAGGTGATCCTATTGTAATCTGAATAATTTGAATATTCAGTCAGAATTGATTACGTCCTTTTTCTTCGACGTTCCAAATTGTTTTATCACCTCAAACTTGGGTAATTAAACCACAATTAATTCAGTCAAGTCAAATGCGTAAACAGTTAATTAAACAACATTCCTATCCACAAGAAAACAATTAATAGAGTAATTAATTAAACAAAACACATCAAATATCTATCTATTTCCAACAAATAACATCATTAAGAACCATCCAATTCGAAAATTTTCACATACATTGACGAAATACATAATGACACTGAACAA